CCCTTAATAAGTTTGTTGAAGTACATTTCATTTCATTTGAAGTGACGAGTGAAAGGAATTAGTTGGCCTTGCCGGAATCTGAAGAGGAATGGCCTCAGCTGCGACTGTAGATTTCTGAGAATAAGTCCTTAGCTCACGTTCCTGCGACCATTTGAGTTTTAGTCTGTTGTTCGGCGGATATCATCATAGCAAGATGCCATGCCTTAAAATCACCAAAACATCTTTCATGTATTCGTGTTTTGGTTAATTATCATAAAGCATGATGTCCTGCTCTGACGATGTCCATTACACGATAAACGAAGGCTCAGAAAAGATTTATCGGGCTCGCATAGTATTGCATCAAGAACGTTTTCGCACAAATGTACAGTCACAGCACTGAGGCAATCCTCCTCCAGCTTCCGATGAGGCTAATCTACGAATCCCTTCCTATAGGAATCGTCGACAATTAATTACCAGTCTTTCATCATCTTAAACGAAATAGAGTGAACATAACTCGCATATCTGATTTAATGGTGGTCTTGAAAATCTACTCATTAATGAAAAAAACGATGTCGTCGATTACTATAGCAAATATAAGTTTGCCTCGTCGACAATCGCAACACAATGTGATATGGAAAATTGGGTTTACACGGACTGGCAGTTTACACGCCGCACTGAAATGGTTCGACTTCCGCTGGGGGTGTTTATAAGACCTAGGCGAGGTCGAAACTGCAGTCCACCTTGGATGAGAACAACTTTTGGGAAAGCAAGGCTATGCGAAATTCAATGGAAATGCCAGATCTAATTATCATTGTGGAAAAATTCAACTATCAGTCCTTAATCACCTTAAACGAAATAGGCTCAACATTAAATCGAATCACCGCTATCCAGCTTCATATAACCGCGAGTCACATCTGGTCTTCGGTTATTGATCTACGTTATCGGATTATCACTGGTATACAATTATCCTCAAACAAAGCAATATAAAGGTATGAAGACCAAGATGATGTGGCCTTTTGTATGGTCGCAGTCTCCTTTTTTTTTATAGAAGTTTGACCTTTTTTTCGCAACTTGGTCATATTGATATGAAGACTAAGAGGAACGCACCTAATCCGGAGTCCAGTGTATGCATGAATGTTTCCAGAGTCGGACAGTCGATGTGGTACATAACCAGACGTTTCGCCGGCATCGTCAGTGAGTCTTGCTATTCTTAGCACCACACCACAACTCGTCAAAGAGACAACTGAAGCCGATCCTTTGACCAATTGTATGCTAAACAAGTGGTATCTCTCCTTCCGCCCTGGGCTAATCACCAATCCTATATCCCTATATAACGTCTTCACTATCATAATGTTTACTTGCTTATTTAACTGTGTTATGGTGTTCCCTTTTAAGTGACTTTTATGAGACTATCCACACTCTACATTGGCTTTCTCACCTCCTTTCACCTTAGTGTTGGGGATATTTATCAGATTCTGCCATATTGTTCAGCAGTCCTCGTTCCCTAGACCTTATCAGAGTCTCCCTCTTGCCTAGTAGGATCCATCTGCTATCTCCCTGGTTCAATTATTTCACTCGACCCCTTTAACTCCATCTATGCTACTCGAGGCGTTATTTGCCACACTCTGCCTCTAAGAGACTAACTTGAGGCTGAAACCCTTGCATAATTCGCATGGTCAAGCCATTGCTTCATGGTCCACGTCAATGGTAAAACAGGCCTACTATCAGCCAACTAGCACTAGTCTCCGCCGCGTCTATCCTTTTTCCATCCCTAATACCAATTCTATCATTTTCTATATATTATTTTCTTGTCTGCTAACCCACAAATATTGTGGTACTGCTTGTATCATGAAAGCTACTCAAAAGGGCACATCATAGCACATTTAAATAAGCAAGTAAACATTATGATAGTGAAGGCGTGATATGAAGATATAGGATTGATGATTAACCCAGGACGGAAGAAGAGATACCACGATTGCTTAGCTGACAATTAGTCAAAGATTCGGCTTCACTTGTCTCTGACGAGTTGTAGTGTGTGCTAAGAATGGCAAGACTCACTTACGATGCCAGGAAACGCCCGGGAATGTCCACTGTCCGACTCTGGAAATTATCATGCATACAATGGACTCCGGAATAGGTGCGTTCCTCTTAGTCTTCCTATCAATATGACCAAGTTGCGAAAACAAGGTCAAACTACTTCTTAACCAATATAAGTTGTAAAAATAGTTTCATATATCTCATTTTTTATCTTATTTCTATTATTTTAGGTGTTATCTGCTACTCGTTAGGCCTAAGACTTACATCTTTTCCTCTCCATATTCTCAATTTGTTTCCTCTCCTGGGCTTTTAGTGAACAGCCCGACAATGATGCTCCATTTAGGCCTCTTGCCTTATACTATGAACTTCGTCAGCCTCACGACAATCGGATTTATCACCTTCCAGCTTGAACCATAATATCTCACTATCCCTTTTATTCCATAGGTTCGATCCTTGCCTACTTCAGACCACTGCTTTTTTGGTGCTTTTCCTTCGGATTCCTTATATGAGTTTATCCTTTACTAGGCTTGCAACAATCACTCTGTATAAACTGCGGATTCGTATGGCTGCATTTACGCTATTTTCGCACAAATTGTGCTCACATTCTCACCGTTGCCATACTTTCTCTCCCAGAAAATCTAAAAAAAATAATATTTAAAACACTTATTCTAAAGAGATATCAGACCTTCACCTGAAAGTTTTTATTTTATTTTAATGCGGAAGTACGATAACTTTCGTCTTATGCATATATGTTTAAAGACACTTTTGGTTGATTGGCTTCACCTCGTGACTTTCAAGTCTGTACAGTCGCAATACCAATTTAGTGATTTATCCCCTCCTATAGTTTTTCATATTTCTCTTATTATTCCTCGTCACCCTACAAGCTCACTTCCTTCCATCGTCTTTCCAACAAAAACTGCATTTTTTTCTGCAGCTTTGCTACTGATTTCCCCCGTTATCTTTTTGTCAAACTGGTCCTCACTGCTCACGCCCAAACGCCTCCTCACATTTAGTTTCCAAGCTGTCTGCTTGTTTACGATACTCTGTGTACACATCATTTCGGTTGCATGAATTTTATTTTTATATCTTGACTTATACTCACTCATTTTATTATAGACACTATCGTTTACCTTTGAGTCATTTTTTGCACTAGCGATCTTGCGATTGCTCATTCATTTTTGTAATATGAGAATAAGAGCATGTAATGCAGCGTTTAAGGCTTACTGATTATCACTATATCTCTTCCAATGATCAAACCTTGCTTGCATATAAGTACATTTTCGTATTTACACACGTCATTTTGGTCGTCTTGTTTGCATTTATGGTGGCGACATTGGATTTCCAGTATTTAGTATAGCATATTTCTCTTTCTACTCCCACTGGACGAGAGGCTTAATTTTCTTGACATCCTGAGTTTAGTTTGAAATAAGTAAAAATTGTCCATTATTTGGTTTCTTGTCCTGCTGCTAGACAAAGGGACATTCTCTGTATTAATCTATTTATATGTGTATCTATCTACTTTTTGTATTTTATTTTGGTGTACATACCTTCCATTTACCACTGAAGGCCTTCCATCTTTATGGAATTGTGACAAAGGTGAGCCATAAAGCAGCAAACAAGTGAAGGCAAAGATTTACTAGGTTTAATGTGTTTATTGTTTTTCTTCTTTCTTCTGTCCCATATTTCTCCAATATTTCGTTTTCTATAAGACATCAAGGCGTCCTAATTGGGAAGGCGGTAATGGATTTGTCTCATTTTCTTATTTCACAATGAATTTACTTTCTTGTTTTTTCTTCTTTTAATCGCCATTTTTAATTACGCAAAGCCTCTAATTGTCCTTTCGAAATGAAAAGTCGAATCATACAAAAGTTTTAAGGGAATACCAGAGGCCCATCTTCATTTATTTTAACTAATACTTTTTGAATTTGGATGTGAAGTTTTTATCACCGACAAAATATTGGTATGGTAAACCTTCAGAATTTAACTACACAAGCCCTAGATGAAAATTAATATATTTTGCAGCAGAATATTTGTTTTGTCTGTGAGAACCTTGATTTCTCAGGATAAACGTAGTTGTTTATATCTCTCACAATGAATCACAATTTCGTGTACCATAAGTTCAGATAACAATGATTGTATCTAAAAACCACATTCCCAAGTTCGCTCGATATTTACTAGTAAAAACGACGTCACTGCTCTGATTAATAAATGGTCCAAATAATCGGCTATCCATACTGTCGTACACCACTACATTGTGGATCAAAAAATGTCAAGTCTCAACTAAATCAAATTGACTTATTGTATTGTCAGGACAACCTAAAGCAACACACATTGTCTTGAGTCTATAGCATGCATGATAATTCCCGGATTTGGACTGTGTACCTGGTGAATTCCTATATGCTTCGCCAGCATTGTCAGTGAGCCTTTCCATTAGCACCACTCAGAGTGACAAGTAAAGTTGATCCTTTAGCCAATTGTCTGCTAAGTGGTATCTCAGAAGGGTCTGTTAACACGGCTAATAAGCCTGCCCCTACGTACCACTTATCTTACATTTAACGGCAATATCTATGAAAAGATATTAGGACTACTTATTGGATCTCCACCCACCGCTGCAACAGAGAGTATTTATGCGATACTATACACTGGTGGCATGTTAAGTAAAAATTTATATAAATTCCTCAACTTTAAGAAAGTATAAGATTCGCGTTGGAGGTAGTGGATAACGAGCGACTATCTTTCCTATATGTTCAGGTCATTAGCTCTAACGGGAAACGCAAAATGAAGCTGAAGATCAGAATACCGAGGCGCTTGATCATCAGAAGCTCAAGACTAGCGGACATGGAGTTGAGAGGAAGAGGGGAATAAACTGACACGGATTTGTCTTAGAATCGGTTACCTTGATAAATTATAGAAAAATATATAGGGGTCATAAAGAACAGATTTCAACTTTGATTTGATGAAAATGGAACCAAAAATCTGGAAGATGACCAAAAGTTGACATACCTGCCCTTCAGTAAGCTGAGCCAAAATTGCCACAGTTATTGAGGAAATGGAATATGATAAAAAAGAAAAAGGCAAAACTCTTCACTAACATGCCGATGCAACACGACTAGGTCGACAAATTAGATTGATGTTGGAGTAACTTTCATTTTGTCTGAGGCGAGTAGGAGGGATTAGTAAGTTGGTCCTACCGGAAGTTGAGGGAGTGCCTTGGAGCTGTGGCTATAGATTCGTGCCCTGCGACCCCGATTAATCCTTGCTGAGCCTTTGCTCGTCATGTCACGGAGATCGTCAGAGCATTTGATAATTCCCCGATAACATGAAGGCACTAAAGGTGGCCAGCTTAAAGCTACCTACTTCCTATAGTGCAGTTTGGTCTACTTAATTCTTTTGGTTGGATATCCTAAATATTTGCCGAAAAATTAAGTTAACTGGCTGCAGGTTGAGCGTGAAACAGGTGAAATTGTGACCGAACAGCTACGTCCTCTCCTAAATCACGTATGCCTTTGAACCTGCAATGTGACACTGCGTGTGATTACGTTCCATTGCACGCGTGTGTGAATGCATTCATCTTGATGTGATTGTGATGCGAGAGTCAAAACCAAATTCGAGTCTAATCAAGCCTCCTCTTGCTCGGTGGTACTTCTCGTTCTCCCTCCATCCCTCTCTAGTCCTATCCAACAGCCAAAAGTGGTATCCATTTAATGTCCTATACTCATTCTTTCTATTCTGTTTTGTTGATTCCTATTGCCTCCCTAATGCTTTGCTTACTGGTATAGTCCCATATCCAGATAAACGTGTGGATTTAGACTTATATTCGGTGTCCC